ATCACTTCAACTGCTGTTCAAGTCCAGAACAAAGCACCTGCTTACTGCAGACAGACCAGGGAATTGTAGCACCATTAAGCCAGGTGCTCCAAACCTGCTAGTTTCAGAGCTCAGCAAAGAGCTTCTCTCTGACATGCTCCAAAATCAAACGCAATCAGTTATTTCCCTAGCCAGTGAAGACATGAACAGTCCTCCTAGACAGGCAGATGAATCACATTTCAACCCATTTTGTCCGAGACGAGATGCAACACAGTCAACCACATAAACCACCTCTCCCTTCTTTAAAAAAAAAGGACTTTTTGGATAATATGAAAATGTGATGACTGAAAAAAAATATCAGGGGACAGACTTTAGAATGAGAAAAGACTCCTACCCACATAGTCAGACTAGTTCCTCTATGGAAAACCAGGTCCAAGGACTCAACTTAGCACTTTTGCTATAAGTACTAATCCGCAGCCAAATATGGTAATTTGGTTTGCTGCGTTATTAAAGATCAACAATCCTATTAACTCCTTCCATAATCCATTCACTTGCCCTGGAAAGGACCTCATTTTTCTACCAACGTGGACATGCCGCCAAGCCTACTGAAGCAGACAGATGTTGGGGTTTATACATGCTCTCAGCCGTTTGCCTTTCAAATCCAGTAAAGTATTTTACCACATTTCCAGGCATGCTTCAAAGCCTTACTTTCCGCCCTGCACTCTCTTATTTGGCCTTCCAGTCCCTCGGTACTAATATGTGCCAACCAAGGAAAAAATAAATCTTGAAATCAGGGATCTAATCTGGGAACAATCTGCCTGGTCTTTCACCAGACGGATCGGCCTCAAGAAAGCAGATTTGTGGTCTTGAAGGAAATGCCTGAAGGGCTTCTCCAAAACTAGCATAAACATACAGCATAAAGTACATGGGCATTTTTGGTCAGCCCCCATACCATTAGAAGGTTTATGCATTATGTCTGAAAAACAATGTAATACAATTTTAGCACAGCTTTCTACCTGGTGTGGATGGAGTAAATGGTGTTAAAAAACATATTAGCCTAAGGGTCAAGACAGTGGGAAGAGTAGGGTACTTAAGACTAACCAGAGCCTGAAGCACTATACTGACACAGTGATCAGTCGTTTAGAAAGGAGAGTGTGTGTATCCGGGGGTGGGGCAGACAGCTTTCATTCTGTAATAATGCTCATTCAAGAACTGATTCGCTCTGGTTTAAATACCAGCCATGTTCTCTTGAGCAAAAGTGCAAATAAAATGTCGCTCTCATGACACTGCTAACAAAGCAAACCAGAACAGGTGAGAACATGACAAAACTTTGTAATGTGTTACTCCAAAATCCACAGAAACCAAACCGACTGTTATGACTTTTTTTTATTTAAAGTATGAAGCTGGATATTATATTCCAACCACATTGTAAATTGTATTCCAGGTTATTTGGGGAAAAAAAAAAAGAGTGTGTGGCAGCAGCTTTGTCCAGACTGATCTTAACATCTTCTATTTGACTAATGCAGTAAAGTACCTTGACTCAGAGTCTTAGTGGTATCTTTACATACCTCAAGCCCCTTCAGAGTGCAGGTTCCTACAAAACTGATGCAAAATAAAAATGATTTAAGGGAGGACACAGGTGCACTACAGAAATGAAATTAGCTTACCTTTGAAAAGTAACCACTGTATGTCTGTACCAGTCCCTAAAATGAAAGTGTATCCAATATTTAAAGAGAGAGAGAGAGCCCACAAAAGGGCTACAATATTTGATATTCTCTTTCACTCATTAGTTGGACATCTAGATTCTCCAGGAAAAAGCTGCATAGACAAATTTGTGGAGACCGTTATCTTGAGTATAAGTTGAGAAGCCACATTTATACAGGTTTTGACAGAAAAACACAGGTTCTCTTTACTGGATGATTTGGAAAGAAAACTTAAAAAGATGTGGTAGATTTGAATGTACAAAGACTATAACATTCATGCCCACACATATATGAGGTCTCTAACAGCAAAAGAACAGATTAAACCACCAAAATTAAGCTCTGCCTGAAAAATTGGAATGTTTAAATTAGGTTCTTATTAAAATTAATCAAATTCTGCCTATTCATCATGCTCAGAGGCAGTACAAGACAGCAGGAAAGTAATCAAGGTCCTGGTTTGAATCCCAGCCTACACACTTTTGAATAAGACATTCCTATTAAAAAGAGAATTTACCATTGGCTCTGTGGTTTGAACAGATTATTTCTTAGTACTTGGCAATAGTTTTTAGCATAATCCCCAAAAGATTTCTTTATCTGTTCCTCATTTTCTGATACTTTGAGATACTGGCAGTCCACGTTTTGAGGTATAGCAGCAATCACATATGAAAGATTTATGGCAAAAAACTTCTGAGAGACTTATAAACTGTGAAAACCTTACAAAGGAGTTCTGTGAATGAAAGTAGCGTTACCCATTTAAAATACCTAAACAAGCCTTTTCAAGGTACAAAGTCTGTGAAAGATAGCACCATTTGAAATAAATATGAAAACGAAGTTCTAAACCTCTATGTAGCTTCAAGACAAAAGTCTATAGACCTAGCTATATGGGAACAAACAGAATGGCACTTCTTCCTTGAGGTGGTTGCCATCTGAGAAATTACAAATTGTATTGGGCAGCTATATATATTTAGCTTTCTCAAAATAATATCGATAGAATAAAGTAAATTTTAAAACCATTGTCAGAAATACCTGCCACCAGTTTGGTTTCATATAAATGATGCTCATGCAATCACAGTGTAGCTTGTATTTCCTAGCCAGAGACCCATGTACATCAAGTTAGCAAGATGGCAGCTCTCTCATTGATTGTTTTTAAAAACGGGGGGTTGGAAAATGAATATCCACGCTAAGTAGGAATTGAGTTGAGGGAAGACAGAATGGAAAAAAGTTGGTAGCCCCTGGCTGGTTCAGAGAGAGCAAGAGCGAGAGCTAGATAGATAAGCATTAGCCTCCTGTTTGTAGAACTGGATAAGTATTAAGACATACTAGAGGTAATTTTATTTTGGCAGCGCATAGTAACTCAGCAAGGAGGAGCAACATCACCAAACAGTTCACAGATTTCACCTTTAGGTTATCTATTAAAATAGAGACAAGCAGCATCTCACCCAGAGTCTCAGTCTAGCTCTTTGAGACAAGTTCCCTCACTACTAAACTTAATATGAATGGAGATGAGTTCACCTCTCACTCCTAGGACATGTTATAATTACAGCTCCTAGTTGCAGAGTGAACAAGTATAGACAAGACACTCCCAAGCCACTGATATCAGTGAGACATTGAAGGATAGGTTGTACAAATCTGCCTGAAATGCTGGGTGAATTCCATGCCACCACATCTTCACTGGTGCTAGGATTAGAGTTAGCATAAGCCATCTCGGGTGAGTTTACACAGGCTATAAATTACAGGTCCAACTATACAACCTTCCCCACACCAGTCTCCAAAGGTCTGCCTACAATGCAGACACTGAATATATTGTGCTATACCTACTAATAGATAGGAAGAAGACTTCAATCTCCAGCAGGCTTTTTTATTTTTTAAATACAACAGTTAAATAAGCAAAGCTTAGAGAACTCCTCTTGGAACTTCTGAGGGACTAGGACCCCCAATTGCATCCCAAAGACCGACATAGTGGCAGAGTTTTATTCAATTCTGTGCTCTTGTGTTTTTAAGTAGAACATAAACTCTTACGGCATAAAAATATAATGTTTGATAACAAGAACTATACTTTTCTCAAATACAGATGGAAGAACATATGCAAAGGAAACTCCGAGGAATGTGTTATTGGACATCTGCTGTTCTTGGAATGGAAACCAAAAACCCTCTCCACTGCAATGAGAGCTTATTGTGTTATTTGTTTTTGTACAGTGCCACCTGCTGACAGCATGGACATTGCTCTTATAAACTGAACTGTGCTAGGAGACATTTGCAGTGCTGCTCCCCCTAAAAAAATTACTGCATTATAATTAAAAATCAGCGGAATTCCCACAGGAATCCTAGTTGGAAGCACAGTGCAGCACTCAGAAGTTTAACCCAAAGCTCTCTTTGCTCAGCTCTTAGAATCCCCAATTTGACTGCAGTTTATACCCTTTTTTACCAAGCTACCTTGTATCTGAAATAACAAAGCTAAAGACACTGTACGAAATTCATTTAGTTTTACGGTCATTAATACAGTTTCAGTCAAATCATCCCAAATGTCTGAGGAGTACGTATTAGGTGGTGACCTCTGGTTTCTCTCTAATACAATAACCTCACTGGCAGTAAAGTGACATACACACTGTAGAGATCTAATAAAATCCATACCTTTTTCCACTCACTTTTCCAAGTGGAGGATACTGCAGAATGCAAGGATGCACTGGGTAACCCAGACAGAGTTAAAATAAACGTATACAGTATTTTATAACAGAACCAGAAACTGCTACACAACTTCTAATTTAATTAGTTTGGGGTTTTATGAAAAGGAGTTTTATTACATTTGGAATATTTAAAAAAGAAACAGTCTGGCAGGTCACTCAGACACTCATTCCACATGCAGGAAGACATGAATATATAATATAAAATATACAGGTTAAGAAACTCAGCTTTGAAGGATTCATATACAACAGCCTGGATGAACTAAAAAGACTTCAGTGATAATGAAGTTGGTGAGATGTCACATTCCACAGACCTCCCAATACTCTTTCGTTCTTAGCCCAGTAAAATACATAGGAAAAAAGGGGCTTGCATTTCTGCTGGCTTCAATTTCAAACCCGACGTTTGTTGTCAAGGGGGAGATGTAGTGTTTTTGCTATTATTTCTACAGCATAGCAAAGGCAGCTCACCAAGCCTACCTGATCTGAGGCAAATGGAAAAAGATATATTCCCCAGAATCAACATCACCATTTTTTTTAAATAATCTAACAGATAAATGAAAGCAAAAGGTAATAAGGAATGACAAGGCCACAATAGCCTACTGGCAACATTGTTCAGAGAGCAGGATGAAAAGTGACATACCTCAGCAACAAAGAGGGGAAACTCTTCTGGCAGAATCCAGGAGCGGGGATAGAAGTTGTACTCTTCAGGAAACAGATCCTGCATTGTTCGCACTGCCCGGCTCAGGGTAATTTTACGCACCATTTCTGTCATACCTGGGGAAAATAAAATACGGTGCTTAGAAGCACTGAAAACTATTCACTTAGGCCTTGCTCTGCATAGTAAAGCAAGCTGGTATGTTGTTACTTACCATACATTTAAGCATGGGCGTTGTTTTCAATGTAAGCGGCACATTTTTAGTTAGTCGTGGTAATGGAAGATTTTCCTTGGGGATTTATTTGCATTGCACTCAGCACTGTATGTTTGGGAAAGCTGTAAGCTAGCTGTCCAAACTGCCACAGGAAATAAAGAAAGGAATATTCTTGTCCAAACAATGATTAACATACTGCTTCAGCCAGGAATTTTTACCTTATTTTGCTGACATGCCAGAAACAGGAGACAACACTTGATCCAGACACTGGAATTATCTCTAATTATTTACCATCATTGCAACAAGTATGTTAGAGATAAAAACGTTTCCTTTTATATAAGCAGCTTCGAAGTCTATTTTGTTCAATCGCCTCATCCTTCCAATTGCCTTAGACTCCCATGGAAGAAAATAACTGGAAGTTGCAAGTGACAAGAAAAATTGCACAAAGTGCTGAAAAGATCACAGGACTGGGTCCTGTTAACATTCCTGGGAGTTACAATGCATTATGGAAGGACTTCCGTATCTCTCTAACCTCGCTGATCGGTTCATTTCTTCTTGCTTACCACATGAACACAGGATACAGCTCAGGTAGATACTGCACATGACAAGAGATTTAAACAACCAGAAAACTACAGCACTTTACAAGCTGTAGGTGCATTGTCCACAAGCAGGAAAAAGTCAGTGTCAGTGGAGCATAAAGTTCTATATCTGGAGTTTCTCATTCAGCATACTAACCGCTGCAATAAATCTGAAGTGAAGGGCTTAGATAAGTCAATACCCTAAGCTCTTAGCTCTTATTTAGTGGGATCTAGACTGGGATTAAATGAGAAATAAGGGGGCTTAAAATAGTAGAATAGTCATAATAAAATGAGAGCTGACATGAACTCTTCAATATTAAAAAATCCATCTAAGGAACTGTGCTCTGAGCTCTTCCCAGAAACAGACCAGAGTTCAATATAAAATTGATTGTTTCCACCATAAAAAAGCAAAACAAAAGCCAAAGAACCCGCAGAGGCAACATTTGTATTGATGTTACAGAATGCACAAGAACTGTTTCTCCATTTCATTTTCATCATAATCTAATGTTCGAGTTTTTTTAATTAATGTATGCATACATCTACTACTCCACTCTTCAAGCAGCCTTAGTGTCCGCTTAAAACCTTGATCCATTCTGGCATTCATACCACATATTAGGAAGAGATTTAGTTATTATTGATTTATAAGGTATGATTCACAATTTAGGAACCTTTTCCAATATATGGCTTGCCAAACATCAAGAATATAGTACAATGGGGCAAATCCTAGTCCTGGTGACAGCAATGAGTCGTGCCATTCCCTTCTTTGGGACTAGGATTTGATCTGATGCTTTTTTTTTTTTTTTTTAAATCTGGACATCAGTTAGTTGGACACTGGAGTCCAGATATAAAAAGCCCTGGATCTGGTTCTCATGTAATACGGGTGATCTGTATTTCCCTTCTGGCTTTGTCATCATTTTGGATTCACAATTCTAAACATCTACTAATAAAATTCAATCTATTTTCTGATTAATGAAGACTCTCTTAGCTCCGGACCCTCCCTGAATGCCACTCCGATCCCCTTCCTCTGCCCGATCCACTGCTCTTCTTTCAGCTCCCTGCCCAATCTGCTGCATGCCACACACGGAGGCTGCCTGTGTCATTTGTGGTACACATAACAGTTAAATGATCATCTTTTAAAAGCAACTGTTTAACTAATAACGCAAGGACAATTACCTGGAAGCTTGTTGACTTGACCTGAGAATATATCGTTATCATGAAACGATACTCCATGCCAATAGATATCACAAGGTAAGCGCCGACCAAATGGACACTGGAAAAAAGATGCAACAGGAGTGTTAAAAAGAGAGATTAGCTATACAAACCACGTGCCACACATAATTCATGATAATTCATTAGCTTTGTTAACAGCAAACAGACAGAGTTTTAGCTTGGAGTATAAAGGTGTATAAAGAAGAAACAAGAAATCCATTGTTGTTTATCGCTTCCAGAAGTTAATGGTGTCTTTAAAAAAAAAAAAAAAAAAAACAGAAAAAATTTAACTGAAGTTAAGAAGAGAATCTTGCAAATTGACCAATCATAAGTTTACTAAATCTCTCTCACTTAGGGAGAAGCGTAATTATCCCTACAGCATTAGGCATACTTAAGAAGCCCTTTTCTTGCGAGAAAGTAATTCCTCCATCATTATCTACTCTGCAATGCTGGTGCTCATTATCAAAAGCTAGGTCATTCAAAAAGTTAAGCAGGGGATCAAAACAGGGTAAGGCTCCTCCATTCCATCCAATTCCTCCTATCAAAAAGGGAACGATGATCCTCAACATTTCACTCTCTCATATATATAGTAAGTGAAGTAAATATATTGTTTAGACAAAATGCATGCAGTATTTTTTTAAAGACCTGCCTTAGGGCCGCTGTTGTTGGCGGGGAGCAAAGAGGGCCACACAATATTTCTTACCCATTCAAAATTTTCATTTTTCCCCATGACTGAATAAGTATTGTAACAAATTCACAAAAGTAGGTTGTATTATGGCAGGAATATAAGATGAAATCATTGCAAAAAACAAATGTGCTATGATTTTGCTTCCCGTTACATCAGTTTTCAGATGCTATCCAGTAACATTTTGGTATTCTCCACTTGCACTTCCTCTAACAATTTAACTATTAAAAGGAAACTTTACAGCAAATGAAGGCCTTAATAATCTCTTATATTCTGCAACAGTTTCTCATTGTTTACTGTTAAGTTTAATTTCACTCTCTGAAAGAAATCCTTATTAGCACCAAACGCTTTTAGGCAAAAGGAAAAAAACTTGATAAAGTTTTCAAGTGAACTGGTTCCTTTATTTGCAACTTTAATTAAAATTTCAGTTTATTCAGTAAATAGCTTTGAAAATTAATTAAAACGCTAATTTAGGACTGCATATTTTCTCCTTTTCCCAATTCATAGGGGTGACATGCACAACATAAACAGAGCTAGAGGATTCTTGACTCGTTTCATTATTATTCTGTCTGCAACCAAAAAAAAAAAAATGTGTTTTTAGTATGTGTGAAAATTAATTCCGTTAGGCTCCGAAAGACAATCAGTGGCCTTAACCCCTTTCTCCACAGGTATATCCAAGAATATAGATTCAGTGATGGGTCTCAGATTGCCCTTCCCACTAAAAACTTGAGCAATTTATTTATTTATTAAATGAAATTGAAATGAAGTGAATGAAATTTGCATTTATATAGCACCTTTCATCTGCATAGGAATGCAAAGCACTTTACAAACATTGCACAGAAATCATTTCACAACAGATGAAGTGTAAGCACCTCCGGGCTGGAACACCGCAGCCATTTTACAACGGAAAGGTACTCAATGGTTCACAAGGGAAAGGGACGTCACTGTTCTTGGCAAATCAGGGAGTAATTAAGCAACTCAACAACTAGGTTTCACCAAGAGTGGGAAGGACACCCCTACGCTTCTGAATGAAGTGCATCTTCTTCAAGGTGTGCACCTTCATTTTATATAAGAATATAAATAAGCAACGGGTCAAACTTTGGGCCCAGCCTAGCAGGGCAAAACATATATAAACCTGGCTTAAACTAATCCCTTCAGGAGCCCCTGTACGCTAGGCAATGAAGCCACTTTATCTGCTCCTCCGCTATCCACTCCCGGCTCCTAACGCCAAGGAACAGAGAAAAGGAGACAATTGTGGCACTGTACCTACAGTTGGCTGGTGGAAGAGAAAGCAGCCCCAGATCTACCCCATGTGAAACCAAGCACTGTTCTGGGGCTCACCACCAGCTCACAGAATTTAGGAGCCACAGAAGTGACCTAAAGTCACTATTGCCTCTTCTTCTGCTCCTGTGCCAAGGACATGCAACAGGCACAGAGGAGCCAGTCTGGGTTTTTCAGTTCAAAACAACTTCAAGCCTGTCCTTAATTAATCTCAACTCTTCAAGACATTTCTTATATGCCTCCCAAGTCTAAATAAAGAGATCTTTGCCTGAACAAAACCACAAGAGAGGGCACTGAGTGAACAGATTTGTTTTCACAATTTTGACAAACTTTATCAATCACAGTCAAACTGCCCTATTTCTCCTCCTTGATTGGAAGGCAATAACTGAAACTCCATTTCACAGATCACATCAGTCTGTTCCATCCTGATACAGGACAAGTTAAATGTTCTTGGCTTCTAGTCAGAGTTTCCAAGCATAAAATTTCAAATTATTTCTATACCTCTCTGCCTCTACTGAATAGTTAGACAAACGAAATATTCAATGCTTGGATATGTTGTCTCAGATGTACGTGGCTTCTTTTTTTCCTGCTGATCAAGTGTTTGCATCTAGATGGACTGATTTATAGAAAGATGAATAAACTCAAGGGCAGAGGCTTAATTTATATCTGCTATTTCATTTGGCATATCAGATTCATTTCAATAATCTGATCCACTAAGGCCATGCCTACACCATGAACACACCGTGCTCCGCAGCAGCACTCAAGCATGCAGTGCTGTTCCAACCAGGCTGCTCCCTATGGTGAAAGGCATATTTCTACACGCAGGAGAGCAGCTCATGTGTGATGCCATACACATGTGTTTACGCTGCTTCTGATTTAGGAAACAGCCGGCGCAACAAGGCACAGCCTGTTTAAAGACATCATGCAGTCAGTTTACTGTGTAGACAAAGCCTACACCAAATAGCTCACTCTAATGACATTAAGAGGACTTCACTGGTCTGCAATAATTCTGCTACGCGTTTTGCTAGCCCCACCCCTGCACAACATCCAGGATGTAGCTATTACGGCCGATACAGGAATTTAGAATAAAACTGAAGTTAAGTAACATTGTTTGCATTTGCTGCATCTGATAATAAAAAAGTTGAACATGCCCATTACCCATTTTCTTTTGCAACTTCTTGATGTACCAATCTTCGCATCATTCTCCACTCATGGTATTGTTCTCTCTGGTCAGTAATGAATTTGCCTCTATAAATAAAACCAACTTTAACCAAACACAGATAAAACTAGCAGACAGTCTCTTCCCCTGATTAGGGATCCTGGTTCTCTCCTATTTTAAAAAATCCGCAATTTTTGGATTTAAAAGAGTAACCCCAAATCCACATTTTCTGCGATTAAAATGAAATGCTGCTAATATGTCGATATATGTCTCTATAGGTATATCTATATATAGTGGCATTTCATTTTAATCTCAAATCCACATTTTTCCGTGATTAAACTGAAATAGCACTATCTATTAGTGGCGTTTCATTTTAAATCACAGAAAAATGTGGATTTGGGGTTACTTTTTTAAATCTGAAAATTGGAGATTTTTTTTTTTTTTAACAGGAGAGAACCGGATCCCTGCTGACAACTACCATACGTGGCAAAAACAATAAGTTGGTCTCTCACAGATCATGCTGGTATTGCACATTCAGTTACAAGAAAAGCTCTTTTCCTACAATCAATTTGTCCATATTTATCTTATCATTACATCACATTCGTGGATGACATACAACATAATGATCTTTTGGAATCCACTGAAGGGTAAAATTATTCCCAAATCATTTAAAAAATAATAATTAATCAAATTGATGAGAGGTTGAAAGCATTTCAGCCAATCGTCCCCTACTATCCCCAATGTACACCCCAAAAATCTCTTTCTAGTATAAAACGTGCATGCATCTTTGAGGGAAAAAAAGTTACTAAAAATTAACAGTGAAAGATCTGCCTAGTTCCCTGCTGTCATAATCACTCTTTACTATCCCATCCTATTTGCAGTACTCACCAGAACTGAATACTAATCCATTACTTGCTCCAAAGTGAAAATATGCCATTGAATGCATACTGATTGCTCTTGATATATATCATTTAGTAAAAATCTTAACAGCTCATTTTAAAGGTCTACGGATCCATGATACATTAGAGTTTTGGAATTCCCATCACAGTGTGTTGAAGCCTGAGACTATTTTATTAATGGAGCTGGAATGATAAAGCCACTTTGTGTTGTGAAATTTGACTGATCATGCAGTGATTTGTTTTGAGGGAAGTTAGTGTTAGAGCTGAAAGAGAACCTCATAGTGAAAATTAGCTGCAACTTTAAGCATAGACTAGCACTGCAGAAAAGGCTTAAGTCCTTATATCTATATTTGGACAGCAGCAAAAAAGAAGAAGATACAAAAACACCGACTACACTGACATTCAGCTGACTCTTTCCTACATCATGACAAATCAGCCTGCCCCAGATACAATTAGTTCTAAAGTAAGTGCAAAAGGAGGAAGTGCAGCTTTCCTACATGCAACATGAGAATGCACAAGACGGCAAACAGATCCTTAATGCAACTCCAATGACTTCCATGCAGCTCCGCAAGGGATGAAATTTGCCCAATATCACAGTCTAATCACATTTTCTATTTCTTTCGTAAATTGCTTTTATTGATTTATGTGACAGAAAGGAGGAGAGATAGTGCAGCTCTATGGACACATAGCACAAGAACTTCAGAAAATGTCTGATTTTTATCTTTTACAGTCAAAATAAAAACAAAATCAGGCTCAAAGGACTCTAGCATTAGTCACAGATCTGTATTTCTGTTGGTCATGCCACTACAGCCTTTCCAGAACCCAGCAGCACTCTTTCTTGACCATTCACAGCCACACACAGCAGGCCTGCAATTTTAAAGAAGCAAAGAGGTGCTAGGTTACCTGTGCCCTTGGGAAACATCTCACTAATGCGGGCTCTGACATTGGTTCTTCTGCCATTATTCTTCTGACTATGGTTGCTTGGGATCTGTTATATCCCTGCAGTGTGTAATCCGAGTTACCAGCCTCACCAAGCATTGTTACAGAATTTTTTTGCTTTATTCCCGGAAGCCCAGTGCTGGGATGGCTGACAGCCCCAAAAAAGGCAACTCATAGTAAAAGACAGAGAAGCTTCTCCTCCCAAGGTTACCGGAGAATCAAGGAAGAACTGAGCATGTCTAGATGAGCAATCGCATTGATGAAAACCCACAGGAGCAAAAGCTTCAACGCACTTCCTCACTAGAAGATGCAATCTTAACAGGCTTTAAATTTCTTATCAGTAAAAATCTCCACCTCATCCAGACAAGTATCTAGTCCTCTTTTCATACATTCCTTTGTGCTTCCACCCAGAGGCAGCAAGAAGCTCATGCAGATGAAGGTCCATCCACATAAGCTACCCCAGCTTACCTAAAGATGTGACATTGCATCAGTTCAACTAACCCAATGCAATTTTGCATGGTGACACTCTTACATATGTTAAACAACAGGAAAGTGGACATCCACGTGCAAAATTGCACTAGCTTAGCTGGCTGACTGCAATATCGCATCCAGTTAAACTGGCCCACTTCTGTGCTTCGAGCAGGCCTCAAGCATTGAGGTCAACTGGAAAGCTGCTTAAAACAGGGCTCTGTGTTCTTTACAGAAGTGCTGACAAAATCCTCTAACAGAGGACAGAGTACAAGAGAAAGCCCTGCTTCAGGAAGTGGGCAAGAATCCCAACTGTGACAAGCAAAAGACTACTTTAATTTTGGAATATGCAAGCAAGTAATAATAATTTGGCTGTTTATTTTGGAATAACAATTGAATACATTCTAATATCTATGGCTACTATGATTTGGGAGCCTAAACTGCATTCTCCCCCTCAAAACAAACTTTTCAGCTCATCTTTAGGTTTACAACAAATATTTAGTGGAACATAATGGAGATTATAATTAAGAACAACTGACAACGGTCAGCGATATCTGGCTAAAAGCCCAGCAACTTTACTTACAGGGGACCCTAATCTTCCTGGAAAGGGCACTGCAGAAACAAAGTTAATTACTAAAATTTCAGATGAAAAATCTCTTCTTATGACTATGTGAAACTGAAGGTCACTGTGTGAATTTTCTCTACTTTTCTAGTGTTCATTTCACTGTTTAAAAACAGTTCTTATGTAGGCCTATACAGTTCAGTTCCTGTGCTCAGGGTACATGGGTTTCCTAAACAAATTCCCAGTGCACACAAATTTTTAGAGCATCGGGTTGGTACAGTTTAGGCATTTGTATAATGGTGCAGCAATACCATTGAAACAAAACCATTTTCAAATGTCACTGTAACTATGGCAACCAGATTTCAGAATCCAAGGCTTGGACCAAAAAAAGCATATGTTATACTGCTTCCTGTCAGAAAGGGACATTTTCAGTAAATAAGAACCTACTTCAGAGACTGGGCTACTAATGTGTCGTAATCACTTAAAACTAATACAAAACACCCTCAATCAAATACTGTAATAGCAACATAATGAAAGGATGGAGGAGGCTAGGGGGAAAAAAAATTTTAAAATGTGGACAAGAAAGTAAGCTAAAGAGCAAGCTATAAAGTGTTATGTTCTGGAGGAAGAAATAACCTCAGAATTACTGGTATTAATGTATACTGAACTCCTTTTGCCAAGAATTTTTTAAGTTTCCACATATACTCACCTACCACATGGACCTCTCTCCCAAAAAATCAGCCCTCCAAAATTGGAGTGCATGTCTTAAGTGGGGAAGCTGATTTTCTGTGCTAGAATGGAGGAAATATGGAGACCTGTACTGGCCATCCTGCTTCTCTCCCTGCCCAAATTTGGGCAATATTTAAAAAAAAAAAAAAAAAAAGTCTGGCCAACATGGAATGAATCCAGCAGCAAGCAACAGAAAGAATCCAAGGTCTAGAAAACAGCACATACCAGGAAAGGTTGGAAGAACTGGAACTATTTAATCTGGAGAAGAAGAGAGGACTGGAGTAGATTTGATGACAGACTTCAAATACAAAAGAGACCATTATTAAAAAAAAAAGGAAGAAAAGAAAAGATGCCGATCAATTGTTCTCTGTGTCCACAGTAGCCCAGTAACAGACTTGAACTGCAACAAGGGAAACTTAGTTTGAATATTAGCAAGCGCTTCTTAAATTTTGAGGATTATTAAGCATGGGAACAGATTACCTAGGAAGGCTGTGGACTCTCCATCACTGGAAGTCTTGAGGGGCAAGTTAGACAAACACGTGGCAGGAATGTTTTACACAGGGATGATTCTGGCAAGGAACTGCACTAGATGAAGAATACACCTCCCAGAACAGCCCATAGCTCGTTCTGTTGGCGTTCAAACTCCATTTGCAGTTCCTGCTTAATAGAAGAGAAAGGTGGCAGAAAAAAAACAAACAAACCTCTCTTTACTGACTGAGGCATTATTACTAAGAGTAGGACATTCTGTAGGATCTCTCTCTTTTTCACCCCAACAAGTGATTATTCCGCTAAATGTATTCTGATAGTGCCCAATGGTTCAAGGCAGGAGAGAGGTGATGGGCAATGCACAAGCAGAGAAGAGAGATTATCCTCAAGGGCTACTGTCTGCACCCTGAAGACATTCAAATTAACTGAATGCAGAAGTACAAGTTCACAGGGAAAATGTTCTGGGATAAATAGCAAGCTGCAAATGCCCTACATGGAAGTACTAAGATTGCCAAATTAGCTTCCCAATACATAATAAAAGGCAAGCCCAAAGAGAAGGTTCAAAGTCATTACGCAATCAAGAAAAATGATCGTGGAGTGAGGAAAATGGGAGTATACATCCTCTAGACCTATACCCTAATGCTTGCATGTAAAAAGCAGGATATCCAGACACAAAAGAAAGCATTTAAACCTGGAGAGAATGTTCCTTTTTACCTTAAATTGTCTTCCCTTCGTTCCTTTTTGGACCTACATCTGTGCAAACAATATGGATTTCTAAATCATACTCAATTGTAAAAAAAAATTGAGCCAAGGTATACATAAATTCAACCTGCACAACTCAAAGCTCTCAAAGCAAGAATAAGCTTTTCATCAGGTGCCATTTAAATAGCAGAAAATATAAGCTCTACAGAAGCCATTGAAGCAGAGCACAATGATTTGTGTTCTGTGTACTGTGTATAAACAATGAGGATGGGACCTGCCAAGTCTTCAGTAACAATTATATCA